CTGAAGAGTCCACATTTCATTTTTAAAATGATCATACAAAAAAATCCCCAAAGCTATTGAAAAACCCACTGAATTTCCATCCAAAGATAAGGTAACAAGTATTTTATCTAGAGCAAAACCTGATGTGTGGTGTCATAAATGTGAGGTTTTCATACAACCAATGACGTTCATTCATGTGAAACCTCTCTGATTAGGGGACCAGTTCCCATTGAACCTATTACTGCTTTTCCCAATCATCTGACAAAAGCCTGGAACTATCGATACACTTTTCTTAAAAATTCAGAGTCAAAGCAGGCATCCCCTTGACCAGCTGAAAGTCTGCAGCAGGCAGGAAGGGTTGACCAAACGCCCCAACCAAACTCACTGCCAGCCAGTGGATTCTGCTCATTGTGACCCCAGGGGATGGAGTGCCCCTGCCCCCATGGGTTTCCAAAGATGCCAATCTTTACAGAAGCAGAGAGCTTTCTCCTGAGGCGTGGTTGGGGGTTTCAAGGTTGGCCCAGTGGTTACCAGACCCACACGTAACCCACCAGATCACCTGGGCTCCCTTCTATACTTCCCAGTGCCTTTTACGTATTCCTCTCCATGGTTTTTGCTTTTTTATGAAGAATATGAGTCCGCGAGAATAGATGGAGTTTTTGTTTTGTTTTGAACTGTAGAACATATAACATTTGCTTCCTTCTCCCTGTTTTTGAAAAAAAAAACCCTGATGTTTGCATAATTAAAATAAAATTTATTACAAAGTTTCAGACACACAAATTGATGGGAAAAGAAGGCAACACAAAACCATGTGTGTAGATTGTGTATATACAATTATATAACTATATCTACATGCACATTTTTCATACTAAACGCACTATGGCAATGCATTTAATTCTTTAAATTTTTTTGAGCCCAAGCTTATAGGGTAATACACGAAATGTTCCTTTCTCTTACTAAAACACTTTATTTGCTTAATAAAACAAGAATCAGAACTTACATTTTTATTTCCTTAAATTGACAGAAAAATACCTTTCCTTTACCAACAGCATAGATAATGCCCAAGTGACAGATACATGCAGAATAATTTCACAATGGAAATATCCAGAATATAAAAAAACAAGCTTGAACTCAGGCACATTTGACCTAAGTAATTAATTCTTAAATGTAGCTGCCTTGATTAGTTGTGTAACCACTGGATAAGAGTTCTAAGCTATCAGAAAGAGAAAAATTGGAAACAGAACATATGATGAAATATAATAACACTATTTGACCTATATAGTCAGTGATTTATTTCCTAATACCTCTCTCTGGCCCCTCCCTCCCCTCTCTTTTCATGAAAAGAACAACAACAAAACAGAGTAAATGTTGACCACTGAGTGGATTTCCACTCCTGGCCACCCTGGTTGTGCCAGAGTTGAGCTGTATACCCTGGCATCTCTTGCTACCATGTGGACCGTCACCCCTTTCTCCGGGTGGATTAGCACTGCCAACCTCTCGATTAGAAGCTGAGCATGTTAACCAGTTACATCACCCTGGCACATATATCTTCCCATTGATATGCAAAAACGGGGCCAGGTAACTTTGACCACCTGCCTGGAACATGGATTGTGCATTGATTTATAAAAAAGGTCAGAGAGGGAATTTTAATCATGTCATTTGTGCAAAAAAATTCCTCCATCCCATTCCATTAGTCATCAGAGATTGAAGCAACTTAATGCACCGAAGTAGGACTTAATTAATTTAGTGGTTGTGAATGGCTCTTGCCCCACAGATTCAGTCGACAACATAAGGTAAAATCTGTTTCATCAGAATGTACTGCTTCATAAACACATCATGCAGTGACCCTACGGTCACTTTAAATGGTTACTTTTATTTCCCAAATTTGGAAATGCTAACAATTGCTTGAACATTACTTTTATCCATCTGGTATGGCTATAATCACAGATGAGGATGGGAGAGTCCAGGATTGATTAAGTGTATGGCTGAGAGAGAGAGAGAGAGAGAGAGAGAAAGGGAGAGAGAGAGAAGAGAGAGAGAGAGGAGAGAAAGAGAGAGAGAGAGAGAGAGAGAGAGAGAGAACAAGATCCAGGGAACAGGCCTCCTCCCCAGGGAGTGCTGTTTCTGAAACAGGCAGTCTGAGCTCTGGGTTCAGACAGACATCAGAACACCAGTATTTCAAAGCCACGTGAACGCCTCCTCACTTGGCCACTATCAATACCTATCTCTGATGCTTATAATACGCAACCTTTAAATGATCGCCTCTTAGACCAGTGCCAATGTTCTTGATAAAAGTAGATAAAAAAAGTACAGGCTTAGTGGAAAACGTCAGATAATAGCATTGGCATTGGTATTTGATGGGACAGTGAGAAGGCTATACTTGTTCAAAGTTACCTCCATGTCTGGAGTGACAAGCACATTAGTTTAGAAGAACCTCGTTGCAGATGAGGTGGTCTTGGTCAAATGTGTGTGTGGGTGGGTGGGGGGGGCTTCAAAAAGTTCATCCAAAAATTGTGTTATCTTTTAACTTTTGTTTCCCCAGAAACTGTTTGAAGCCCCTGTGTTTGTTCCCTTGTGATGGCAAAATGCGAAAGTCACTTAAATATAAAACCATGTGATATTTGTTAACTCTGAGAGTGAGGGAAAAAAAGACAGACAGAGGGATGGGGAAAGAGGGACAACCACTGGCTTCAGGTGGCTCCTTAGGGATTTTATCAGCTTCCCTTTTTGCAAGAGACGGTGCAGGGTCTTAAAGGCATAGAACCTGTGGGAAGTGCAGTGGGCTGTTGGTGATTGTTAATGACTCCTCAGACAGGCCCTGAGTGGGTCGAAGATCAGGAAAGGGGGCACATGGGGCTTCTACAATGGCTGGCATAATATCACCACTGAGGAGCAATCTGGATAATCCCAGAGGCTAACATTTCTGCAAGACTCAACAACTTTAACTTTTAAATGGAAGAATGCCCCAGTCCACAGTATATGAATATGTATACTACATTTTCTGAATGCTTAACAGACCCTGATTCCCAAGAGTCTTTAAGGCTATGATAAATTCAAACATTTTAATGAAATTTTCCTTTATGCTTTTCAGTCTTTCTTGGAACCTCAGCGAGACTGAAAGTACTTTTAAAATTACATGTGTTACAACAAAGTGCTGTTAAACAGCTTCGATGAATTTGCTGGGACCTTTGAAGTTGAATATTTACATTGATCTCCCTAAATGATACTCTCGTCAAGTTTTCATGCCAACAAAGAGAGGTTTGGTCTCGGATAATATAAAGATGCCCTGAAGTCAATCCCCTAGGCAGAGTATGAAGGGAACCTACATCGCCTTGGGCATTTAAAGGCATTGGCTGTCAAGGAGGCCTCTTCACCCCAAATCAGAAGAGCTCAGTAAAGCTCACGAGTCACTGAACCGACTGCCTTCCTAAACAGGTGGCAGCGACAAAACTCAGGACATTAGAAAGAAACGTGCTTGACAATGTCAACTCAGAGAAGTCAACATGATCTGTCCCTTCTTGTAGCCCAGAAACAAACCTCTCTAAATGGGCTTCTATGGGATGATGTCATCACTAACATCGTTTAGTGACCCCGACTTCACTGATGGCGTATGCCACATGAGATGACTGCTACCCAACCTGATTTCCAATATGGCGACTAGACAAACACGAGCTGTCGGCTTCTGAAAACCACACTTGTTTAAGAAAGTAGCCTTGACGGCATTCGGGAAGGCGGGAGGGAGCAAGCCTTTAACAAACACAAAAACCCGCTTCCACTAAACTCTCCTAACTGTCAGACACTGGCAAGGGAGAACATACCTAATTAAGCTGCTGTTTATTGTCAATGCCAAGAACATGTCTTAACTGTCCCACTGAGATATATATTTGGCTATATATGAAAATCGCATGTTTAATTAAAATATTCCCAAATGTCAGCATTTCACATTATTCATAGCAAAAAAAAAAAGGTAGTTTTTCAGGGTAGCAGTGGCAGAATTTAAGATTCAAAAACAAACAAGATAACTGAATATATCTAACACATTGGGATGAAAATTCCCCCTCTAGCTACTTTTACCTCTGAAGCATGTAAGATTGTTCCTTGTTGTTAAAAAAGCATTGCCCTCTCATACTTTTATTTAAATGGATGGCCTTGCCACACTGTTGGCATAAAACATATCTATGAAAGCCTGGTTTGGATTCCTAAAGGTTTGTCTATAGAAAGAAGTAGTTAAAGTTCAGGGCACATCACTGATCCCAATCGCTGACATCAACCTGCAAGCCATCTGTGTGAGAGCGAGGTGGGCACGCCCCGTGGCACAGTGTGATGGCTGTGCAGTCACTGAGAGCAGCACGGGGTGGCTTGTGCTCTCCCTCCCTGTGCTGGAAAATGCTCCACGTGAGTATAACAGAACCTGAAGGGCCGTGGGTGGACTGGCAGGTGAGGAGGTAAATCGCAGCAAAGCCAGAAGCAGGAAACAGCTAGGACAGCTCCACGGCCTCCTGAGCAGCTATTGACTTCCTGGTGATGTGCTTAACTACCTGTGTTCACTGTACAACACAACGTTGCAGGAGCTAAATCCGGGTTGGTTTTCTCTTGGACGGCTTAAGACTGGTATTTTATGGTGTTAGGAAGGTGTCCTGATAAGCACAGGGTAAACCACTCAGCAGGAAAAGGAAAAAGAGATAGGTAATACAATGGTTTGGAAATGTGTGTACCTCATTGGATATGAGGGGGAGTTTTACTGTTAACAAACACAAAATAGTGAATTAGACATTCATCATAAAATCTGTGATATTTCATGATGAATGTATGTGCAAGTGATACAGTAGATGCTTCAGAGACTGTATACCTCACCGTGGATGTTTTGAGGTATAAACTATTTCATAATTTCAGCTATGTCCCTATATCTATCCTTGAAGACAGGCCTGATAATGGGATCTATGGCAGAGAAAAGGTAAACCTTTGGGAGGAGTCCTACCCATGGTTATACATGTGTTTTCTTTCTTAGCTACCTATTTTTTGCAGCTTCTGTTTTTTAAAAAATCCTGCTTTGATATTCAAATCAGTAATAAATAGTTAATGGCTTCAGAATAGAAGAATTCTTATGGCCACCACTAACTGACAGTTCAAAGTCCCAAGACTCCATTGTCTACAATCAATCTTCAAGTACTCTGTTGGGACACAGAGTACACAGCAGTACCTTATTGCACATTGACTCCCCCGGATTCCTTGCTAAGAGTGGGGAGCAGAGTTGGGTGCGGGGCAGCTGACCGCCCAGAGCCCTGGCAGGGTCACCTTCCCCTTCCGATGCAGATCCTCCTGGACGCCGGTGTTCATGCGCTGCACCAGGAGCTTCTCGTAGAGCAGGGGGTGGTAGGCCCCAAGTGTGCAGGCCGCATCGTAGTACAGCTCGTGGTAGTGACAGAGTTCTGTCTGCCGGACGGATGGGATGTACTCGTACACGTGCACCTCTCTGCACATGGACATCATGATGAGGATTCCTGAAATGCAAAGACACGTGACTTGGGGAGGCTCGGTGTGGTCAGGAAAGACTGTGGCAGGAGTCAACTTGCTTTGTGTGTGTGGTTTCGTTCTCTTTACACTTGCGGTGTTCTACCGTCCATTATGTGTATGCGCACTGTTTAAGAAAAATGGGGGCTGTAGTACCACTTGATCATTTCTTGTGGCTGTTCTATCCATAGTCTGTGTAGCTCCCCAAACGACTGGGTGGAAGTATACACACAAGGCACGAGGGGCTCTCACCTGGGGATTGGCCAATTTTGTCATTCCATTGGGTATAAAGTGAGCTATTTCAGAAACTAGGAACAGAGAGACTTCCACAACCATGAAGAAAAAAAAGAGCCACAGGAGAAATATACTCAAGATCCCTGGGTGGAGAAGTAGTGGTGGCAATAGAGACCATGAGACAGAGTGGCTGGCTTCCTGGCCCACAGAGGGACTAAAGCTGAGTGTCTTTAGAAAGCTGGCTTGCTGAGTGGAGTGCTCTTTGGGGAGTTAGCAGCAGTGCAAGAGCTTTGCACTGCTTGCCTGAGCAGATCAGAGGCCACAGGGCTGCATGGCTGTGAGGCTGGGGACTAAGCAATGCTGTATCTCCCAACATAATTGAGAAGAGGAATTGAAAACAAAAGAATTGTATCCTTAGGATTTCTGATACTGATTTATAACCTGTGGTCTTCCCTAATAAACTCCACCATGGTGAACACTGTATGATCTGTGAGTTCTGTGTAGCCATTGCAAAGGAGCATTGAACTCAGAAGAGAAAAGAGAGCCATGGGAGGGATGGGTGGCATGTGAAGAAAGAAGAAGGACAGGCAGAGGGGTGTCTGACTTCCGTTTCACAGGACGAATTGGATTACACCTCCCCTTGGGTAACTGGAGGAGGTCAGCTGTGGCTTCTGCACTATATCCTCAGGGGTATGTTAAGATGTGGCATCATATACGGTCACTCATTACAGTGATTAATGTGAGCAGATAATCAGATATCAAGGGGAAAATGAACCGTTATTGACCTTAAGAGGACCAGGAGACCACAATCAAGAGCAGGGGTTCCCAACCTTCCTAGTGCTGTGACCCTTTCAGACAGGTCCTCATGGTGTCGTGACCCCCAACCTTAAAACTAGTTTCATTGCTACTAATTTGGCTACTGTTATGAATCGGACGACCCTTGTGAAAGGGTGGTTCAACCCCTAAAGGTTGAGAACCGCTGATCTAGAGAATGAGATTTGCAATGTAAGTTACAAACTAATGTTCAAAAGGATTTCAAAAGATTCATAGAAAAAAATTCCATTACCTTTCAATTTCATTCTTTCCACACACTTGTTGAAGCCTCCTTGAATGTAATATATACACATGTCCAGCCTGATTTATAGTTATATTATCCAGTCATATTAATATGCCATCTGATTTGCAAGCATAGGAATATGTTCCCAAAACAAATGTTATAAAACTTGATTTTAACCGAGTTGTTTGATTATTATAAATTGATTGTAAAACTGCTGTTTGAAGAGTTGCAAGACTCAAGGACACACTGGAACAATTCTTATAAAATGGTTGGCTAGGTGGAAAGAAAGAGAGTGAGCTACAGGGTGTAAGAGTCCTATTAACAAAATTACTTTTCTCACCACCAGCACCACAGATTACAGGAAACGTTTTTTTAAAAATACTTATCTTTATTTTGAACTGTTACAAAAAATAAAGCCACAGAGTTAGTTCCTGTTCTTAACAACGTTCACCTGAAGACACTCATTTCCCAATTAACCATCTATGCTTATATCCTAAAAACTTCAACCCCAAGAGACATCTCGTACAAGAGACGCTAGCAGAGAGAAGGGCTTTAATTTTTCCAGAGAAGATAGAACGCACACTGATGGAGCTGCCTGGTGTGCAAGGAGCAGAAGGGGAACAGGAGGGAGGCTGTTGCAGAAGATCCCAGTGGTAAGATGGTTCTAGAGATGTGAATTTGGAGACACACCAGAACACATACCCCTAACAAAAGGGAATGAGGACCTAAGTTCAAATTCTATAAAGTCAAGTTGCATTTAGGAACTGTGTCACAATGGCAAGTTACTTGTGATGTCCTCTCCTTTTCCCACAAGTGCCACCAGTGCCTCCTCGTCCACGGCTGGCCTCCTCGCAGCAGCTCGGACCTCTCTCTAGAGCGGATCTGCAGTGGTGCAGGTGCAGCTAAGAAAGAACCATGAAGGACCAGCTTATTCTTCCCGAAATCACCCAGGAGAAGCTGTGCTTCCTGGAGTGCTGTTGTCGTGGGGCGCCAGCACAGATGATAATGAAACTGTTGTACTCCGTTAAACAATGACTTCTCTATGAAAACAGGGCTTGACGTGGTGATTGTCCCGAGACAATGCAATTCAATCTTATTCACTCTTGAAACTTGAAACACACGAGAAATCCTTCAGGTTTGCTTTAAATGTCAGGTTTGTTTTTGTTTTCTTTTGTTTTGTATTTTTCCAGGGATTGTGTTCTGAAGGGTGGATGACAGCTTCCATGATTTTTCATCTGGTTCCTGAACACCATCCCATCACTGACTGCCCCCCTCCCTTGGTCACGGCATATGCCTGGGTGGGCTGTGCACGGGAGCGGTACCTAGAGAGGCCCTGGATAGAATCACAGACATCACTGGATCTTCTATTCCTATGCAACAACTTTCCTGCAGGTGGCAGTGACGTGACTTCAAAGGTGTCTTTTGGATAATGCTAATAAACTGGCAGTGGAACTGTCCCTCGCATCCACAAGTCTCCATACTTCCTCTAGCGCTATGGTTCTCCACCTTCCTCTGGCCACAACCCTTTCATACACTTCCTCATGTGGTGGTGACCCCCAACCACAAAATTATTTTGTTACTTTATAACTATAATTTTGCTACTGTTATGAATCGGGTAACCCAGGTGAAAGGGTTGTCGACCCCCAAAGGGGTCGCGACCCACAGGTCGAGAAGCGCTGCTCTAGAGACTATTGCTGAGGTGTTTCCATGATCCTGAACAGTTCTGTGATTACAGTCCTGTGTGGGGACCGTAATCATCGGTTGTGTACTAACCTTCATCGTCCCTACACGGTAGCTATGGAAGTGGATGGTTTGCGAAAGGAGTAGATTTTTGACTCACAGTGACCCCCTGCGACAGAGAACTGTCCCCAAAGGGCTTTGTGGGCTGTGATCACCAAGTCTGTCTCTGCAGAGCTGTGGGCTTGCACTGCCACACCTTCTGCTACCAGCCAAGGGCTTCCCTGATGTGCCACCAGGGCTCCTTATAACCCCAGTTATATTTAGAGAGATACGTTAGTCATACAGTTGGCTCTTCCCCAAACTTCAGCGTGAAAAAGAATGATTGTTAAAATGTAGATTCCCGGGACTAGTCCTCATTGGATTCCTAAGGTTTGTGCTGGGGTCCAGAATCTGAATTTCAAATAAGCATTCCTAAATGCTCATCTATGGTGAGGGCTAGTTAAAAAATTCCAATCCATGACAGACCAATACACTTAACAACATGATATTAATGGTTCCCTAGACCAATGATTACGTAGTTGGGGTAGTCTACCAATGTTAACTTATTGTCAGAGTTTCTAAATATTTTCCATGTCTCAGGGGCTCTGGGGCGATGGCTTGCACACTGAGTGGCTTCCCACAAGGTCAGTGGCGCAGCTGCTTCAAGGGCGAAAGATGAGGCTGTCTGCTCCTGGACAGCTTTAGAGGCTCAGCAACGCAGAGATACATACAGTCCTATGCTGTCTTACAGGGCCATTAGCAATTAGAACGGACTCCCTGGAAGTGAGTGAGGTTGATACTACTCTGATTGTAGACCACTAACCAAAGTTCCCAGACCAATATTGGTCTGCTGGTCAGGCTTCCACGTTTTCTCTGCAAAAGTCTGCGGTGTCTCATCTGCAGCTGGCACTCTCCATGTTGGGCAGCTAATCATGACTCACATCCATTTAAGAGGAACCAGGGGTGGATGACCTCAGTGTGCTTGCTGTCATCCTGCTCGCAAAGAACAGTTACAGAGTTGAGTCTAAATTCTTTATCTGCAAAACATTTCAGAGATCGTTTGTTGCTAGTAAATTGTTATTTTAAAATCAGAATGTTTGTTAGCTATAGTAAGTTATTTTTGTGTGTCTTAAGTTTAGGCAAAAAGATTGTTTCCCCGTAATCAAATAAATACCTTTAGTATTTTCTTAGGTAATAGTTTTTATTTTAAGATAATGTCTAGAGCTTCAGAAATAAAGTGATATGTTTGTTCAAAAATGAGCTATGCACAATTCCTCCTGATTTTTGCCAGTTGAGTGGAGGCTCAGTAATAATGGTTGCCCATCATATTTTATTCTCAAATGAATGCATTTTTCCCGGTAACAAAAATTTTAAGCAATTGAGGAATCTGCTCTCAACATTTAAGTGACAGCCAGCTGCAGTCCAGACATCAAAGTTAGTAGGGAGACACCTTCAAAGGGTCAAATTTCATTGTCACCTTGTTGGAGACATGTGAAAGGTAGGCAAAGTGACAGGCCATAAGGAAGAGACTTTTTAACAAATATCTTTAATATTTTAAACTTCTTTTCCAGTCAGTTTGTTCAATTCAACTACCAGATACATACTTTGATTTCTAATTTTCTTAAGGAGACCTGGTAATACACCTGGCTCAGCTTTCGGCTGCTCACCACCTGGTCCGCAGCTCCATCCCACCAGAGATCGCAGGAGTGAAAGATCAGGCTTATAGGTTTAGGACCTCCATCGTGCAGCTCTACCCTGTCCTAAAGAGTCCCTACACATCAGAACAAACTCAAGGGCAATGGGGTCTTTGATTCCAACTATCACCCATTGGATATGCAAAATCATTATTTTTCAGTGATTACGTCTACATTTCAGTTTCCCAGAGTTATCCGCAATACACAGAACTTGAAAATGAATTCTTTCTCAAGGTTTGTAGTGAGTATAATGAGGTCGATGTCATTGTCAAGAGGTATGTGGGAG